AATAGAAGAATGATGATTCAAAAAAAGTTATCATAAATATGGTGTAAGAGTAATATTAATTACGAATATTGCATTGCATAAAGCAATATATGCTACAGTATAGGGCGTCTGTTGATCTTTTGAAGACAGAATGAACAAACTATAGCATATATTTGAATGCAGGTAAAATACAAGTATATAAAATGAGCGTTTTATTAGAATAAAGGTAGGTTATTACAAGTCACAGAACGTTATACAACTATGAGTTCCTGAAAACTTTTACTAAATTAAAGAGAGAGCTATTGGATGTCAGTTCCAGTCCCTTTTCTATTGGTTTTGCCTGTGCGGATAACACAAAGCTGCAACAACAACAATAACAACAACAACAACAACAACAACAACTTACAGCGAAAACAACAACATTTAAGGGCAAAAACAAAAAAAAACATTACAGGAGTTCCTGAAAACTTTTACTAAATTAAAGAGAGAGCTACTGGACGTCATTTCCAGTCTCTTTTCTATTAGTTTTGCCTTAAATTGCGGATAACACAAAGATGCAACAATAAGAATAACAGCAACAATTTACAACGAAAATAACAACAATTTTAGGGCAAAAACAAAAAAAAATTACAAAAATTTGATGGTTGTTCACAGGTGGCAAAAGCTATTTGAAGATTTTAGACAACTTGAAGACTACGAATTTTAGATCAAAATTACATAAGTTTTATAGTAATTATTATATGCACATGGCCAGAAATGGAGTCCAACATGGCTGCCAAGCATGCGCATTTTGACTCAAAATAAAAATTCAAAATGGCGTCTTCTTATATAATTTGAGTGGGAATAATGCAAAATTTGTATTTTTGATAACTTACGGTTGAGAAATACAAAATGTGCATATCTAAAACTTCACCGATTCTGTCCAACTTTTATTCGTAAAAAAATTGGTACCACTCGAGTTGTCTAAGTATGTTCCCGAGCAATCAATATCTCTGCCTAGTCTCTGCATAGGAAAGTATGTGATTTCGACATATTCGGTATTTTGCAGGTCCAATTTCAACTCGTTCTTTACAGATATCGTCAAATGTGCATATCTGAATTGCTTCGTACAGTATTCCTCTTTATTATTGTCATTTGTATGAAGCGTAAAAGTATACACTAGTATGTTCCCCAAAGCAATGAATTGCATGTATTTTGTAGAGAGGTGTCTGTCCAATTGTGATGAGAAATGCACCATATTTTGAACAAAAATATCACAAATTTGTTGAGTTACATTTGTTGTCCGCCATTGCTTTTATAAAGCTGTTGCTACGTTACAATGGTTTTAACCGCTGTCAATATAGGCTGTAGTCTCGTAAACATTCTAAAATTTGCGGGATTTCGTAATAATTTTGATTTGCCGACTTCAAAACATTTATAACTATTGAGTATTGGTAGACTTTTGAAATTTGAGAATCGATCAAGACTCGGTTGGCGTAAAGTTTGTTATATTTTATAATTTTGCTGGTTTTCTATATATCTGGTTGTATTGCAATGTCGGATATTCCGCCTTTGCGCCCTATGTATACTTGTTTGCAATGGAAATTATGTGTTGAAAGCCATTCATTAGCTTACCTCTTCTTATTTTCAATTTATAAATCTGCCGTGCTCAGATTATTTAGTTCTTGGCAAAACTCACTGAGTTATACTAGTAAAAATAAACAGCCATTTTGCCAAAACTGAACCACTGATCTGTATAGTGCATTGAATTATCAAGAAAATATGAGCCCGCACGCCCGACCGCTTGATGTCCTCCATTTCTGGCCATGATAATAATAATTTATCATTAGTTAGCTGAATTTATCCTTAATTGTTATATTTTTCAATTTTTTTGAACGTTGGATATCAACATCGTCCTCCTCATTTGGAAATATAGAAACTAATACTTAATAATGCTTAATACTAATACTTAATACTAATACTTAACACTAATACTTAATACTAATACTTAATACGTAATGTTTTCTCATACTTAGGCCTAATACTTAATACGGGATGTTTTCTTAAATTTATTCTTTGCATTTGGAAAATCAGTATTATGAGTCACATGGAATATTTGATCTGTTGCAGTCGTTGCATTGGGAAGCCATAAAGCAGCCGCTCTAGATTAACACAATAAAGGTATACGTTAGATGAGTGTTCCAACTATGTTAGTTAACTTATAAAACAAAATACATGATAGTATTTGGAAAGCATTAGGAACAGCTATATAACCAAGGATGCGTGACTGGTAACTCTTACGCACTCTCATTCTCGTTTCTCCGGGCTGAAATTATGTCCGTCGGACATGTCACGGCGTACAGTTGTTTAAGTAATTGGAATTTACAAGTTTGGACTCAGCAGAACGCAAAAAAGTGTATTTGGAGTATGTGCACATTTAAATTATTCCAAAATTGAATTACATTTAAATATGCCTTCAATCGACGTCCGGTGTACAAAAAGTTACCCCTTCAGATTGCTTTGTATTTCCCAGAACACCGGAAAATGTTTGGATGCGTGCATGCAATTAGGATGTTTATCTCGGTATATGAATCAAACTGTCCCGGATTTAACGGTCTGAAATGAAACGCGTGAATACAGAATTGCACGAGCGCGTAACGGCAGTGCAATGTATAATCACAAGTTTGATATCACTGTATGACAGCGTGTAAAAAATGAGAGAAAGATTGTTTATAAAACTGACTTAGATACGCCTCCCACAATCTTTCCAAGATCAGACAAGTAGGGTCGGCACTATATCATAGACAAGATACGTACAAATCTGAAACTGCAATGCATACAAGTCAGCGGTATTCCATTTTTAAAATTCAAATAAATTAGTGCGCGAAATTGGAAAAAACGCGCGAAACCAAAGCAATATGGCTTCCATCGAAGAGTGACCGAGTGCTTGTTTGCGCTTCACAAGCAGAAATGCTTGATAAATTTGAAGAGTACAAAATAAAATTAAACAAGTAGTGGTTGGAGATGTATCAAATCAAATGCACTTTTTGGTAAGTGACTAATTTCAATATGTAAATTTGTCTTATAAATATTCATACGAATACCGTGTGTGCAATATTTTAATATGAAAGATCCAAATTATGCATACATAAAACCTTTATCGATTTACTGCAGTACTACATTCATATAATAAAATAGTATGTGCTTTAGAATTATATAGTAAATCTTAATACTGGATAAAAACCTTTCATAGGGGACTAATGGGGGGCAGCGGGGAGGGGGGCGGGCGGTGGGTGATAGATACCAAATATTGAACATTTTTTAGAGCTGCCCCAATATTGCAAGACCTTTATTTTGAAGATGCCCCCACCTTAATTTACAAATTTAGGACCCCCCCCTCCAACATTTAAATTGTTACTTAGTTGGTGTAAAATAGGTAATGGTACAAGTACTGGTGTAAGACATTGTGTAGCCTAAATAATAAGAGAACCAGTATTCAAAATGTTTGTAGTTACTCCGACTCCTATCATGAACTGCATATACGTAATAGACTATCGAAATTACGATTATAGGAACTAAAAAAGGTGAAATATTTTCCAATATGATAAAGGCAAAAATTAGTTGAAGCCCCCCTTTACTCACCCCCCACCCCCCAAGTGGCATAATGCTCACTAGGGTTAGTTCAAAAACCAAGGGCCCCCGACAGTTAGGGCCCCCCATCAGCCACGGCCTATCACCCAGAAAATTAGACTGAAAACGTAAAAAATGCAGGTTACGAATCGATGGAAAAATACAAAATTAATAATGCTAAATAATAAACCCTCCATCGACGATGGTATTCCATCTCAAATAGAACAAAAGTTATTCTTAAAAGTTAATTGTTACATGTGTTGGAGACTGTTATTGTCATTGTTATAGACATAGAATTTTCCATTCTACTGATAAATATTCAATATAAAGATAAGATCTTAGTCAAACAATAACAGTCAATAGGGGCCACACCAAGGGGGCCCCCCTCTTCCTACATTACGCCACTGGCCCCCCTCCCTGCCTCCCATTATTAATAACCGGTGGTCCTTAATCATTCATTATATACATTTCATACAATTTCATATTATTTAATTAATATATACATCACACTATAAACAGAAAGTCAGAAACAAGTGCTAATACTAAATGGTAGAAATACACAATAATGGAAAAAGGCTTTCAGTCAATTATCTGCCAGTATGATATTCGTATGCCTAGTATATGATGTTAAGATGTATCATCTTAGGCCCTGTTCATATGAGCCAGACTAGCCTGCCTTGCCAGAATAGAAATTGTTATCATATGAGTCAGGATATTGGCAAACCAAGACACTGAAGATAAGCCTGGCTAACTAGGCCAGCTCGAGTCATCTAATGTCCATTTCATGTACTATATATACATATAATCACTGCATAATCTGCAATAGCACAACATATTTCAACTTTTCATATTTTCATGCACTTAATAATATTAACAACATGTTAAAAACAGTTGACTAGGATGTCAAAGGTTAGGTGGATGCATTCCTTGGAGGCAACAAACCCAATAATTATTAACCCAACAATTATTAACCCAACAATTTGTAACAAATATTTTATTAATTGACAACAATTATTTTATTATTAAATATTGATTATTTTAACAATTATTTTATTAAAATATTGATTCTCTTCATTGCTGAAATCTAACATTGATCATGTTATGGATGAAACTTGAAGGGGTGTGTGTGTGTGGGGGGGGGGTCACCCCCCCAAAGCTGGATTGGCAGGGCAAATCATCTGGATTGGCAGGGCAATGAAAGGTTTTAAATGGTAGAATGTAGAGTTATTAAGTAGCTTCCAGGGCTTGCAAACTTTTTTAGGAGAAATAGTGCCCCCCCAAAATTTTTGCCGCAGGGCATCATTGCCTTTCGCAGGGCAATTCTAACAGACACCCCGCAATTGAAATGGGCTAGTTTCGCCCCTGCAGGCAAAGAAGCATCCACCTAGCCTTTGACACCCTAGTCTGTTTTTAATGTTGTTAATATTAACTCATTAACTGGCAATGTACTGGCAATGTGAATGTGCCCAAATGTCTGTCTAACGCCAGACGATTAATTACTCATCAGTGGTAGAGTACTGCCAGTAAATGGGTTAAAATGTTAAATATGAATTAAGTTGAAATCGGTTGTAATAACCAATTGATTCATTAACCTATTAAGTTGCAAGACTCTCCTTGATGAGCAAAATCATCTAGCGTTAGAAAGAGTAAAAATTCATTGTGTTATCTGCCGCTGTTGGAAGATCCTTTTCCTTCAACATTTTACTAAAGATTTACTGTGTCATCTGCTGCTGTTGGAAGTTCCTTTTCCTTGAACATTTTAATAAAGATTTGCTGTGTCATCTGCTGCTGTTGGAAGTTCCTTTTCCTTGAACATTTTTCTAAGATTTACTGTGTCATCTGCTGCTGTTGGAAGTTCCTTTTTCTTGAACATTTTACTAAAAATTTACTGTGTTATTGTACATAATTTCTAGGGAAAATATAAGAAAAATTCAAATGTTGTATTTCCAAAAATATGCACTCAGACTTTGAAATTTTAAATTTGTGGACCAAGGGGGAGGGACAGCTTAACCAAGGCATACAAAAATTAGATGTACCGGGCGACAACATTTTCTGAGAGGGGGGGGGGAGTTCCCCGGCTCTGGCTAGGTTACTGTACAGTATTCTCTAAAGCATTAATTATTAATTAAGTAATAATTATTACTAATTATTAGTAAATATTTATTATTTATGTTGCTCTATTAGTCAATTAGCCAAGCCGGACTACAAGATTCAAATGCTAATGGGCCAATTACACAAGGCAGATTAAAAGAGTGACTAACAGACTAAACAGTGATGGTGCGACCATAGTTGGGTTTCAATCTGAATCCTGTGACACTTTTATAAAATTTGGTGGTCAACTCCAAAAGGAAACACATTGAGTTCATTATTCATAACAGTATATTAATTTACCTTGTATTCAATAAGCAAGTACAGAACATTTAACAAAATGTGCTCGCTTCCACAGGGCATATAAGCGACAAACGTGCAAAGTTGACCACCATGTGTTTTCCTATGAATATGCCACCAATAAATACTATGCCACATGTGGGCTATATTTTCCCCTTGGAAAATAAAAACACGTTGGCTACGGTATATATACTGTAATAATGTTTATGAGTTAAAATGATTTTTAAATATTAAACCCCATACCTATCTTTAAATCTCCATTTATTAAATGACTTGGTTATTTTCACAATGCACCATTTGTAATGACGTGTTTATTGCGTTTATATTGTTTATATAAAGTTTACCGCACTTGAAATACCGCTGACTTGTACGTATTGCAGTTTCAGATTTGTACGTATCTTGTCTATGATATAGTGCCGACCGACAAGTAGGTTATCATAAATAAAATAAATGACTACGTACACGCATATATAAATCTCGCATCCTAACTAAAGGCTGCATTCCAGAACCGTCATTCCAGTTACGCGTTTTTCATACGTGCCTACACGCGCGTAAAAATTCGCTTTACATCCTACTTACGAAATAACTAAATTTATAAAAGGACAGCATTCAGTTGTGTGTACGATTTAATGTGTATTCGTTTAAGTTATTTGCACTTATATGAAATTTTAAGCGAATTCAACTTGACGCACGTATGAAAAACGCGTAACTGGAATGCAGCCTTAATGACGGTAATCGGGACTTTCTGTCTTTAATTGCGGTTCATATCTTCAGTTCGGTAAATGCTACGTGGACCAAAATACCACCATTCAATTCAGTGTAACGATAGCTACTCATTCCTATCGATAGATTTAGTGAATGGCAACATTATAGCGATTTATGAGCTTTGAAAGTCAAACGAGCTCGTATATGAATAAATATGATCAAATTACGCA